ATCCTTCTTGGTTATGCCTTGTTATCTGGAGAAGCAACTGATAACTTTGTATAATTATTTAATGCATGGTTAACATACATATCCGGCAAGGCTCTGAAGTGTATCATAACTGATCAATGTCAAGCCAATGGTTAGTGTTTCTTTTACTCTTTCATTTTTATATTTTTTTTTGGAATGGTTAGTTAATAATACTAGTATTTTTTTTTTTGTTTGGTTAAGATATCATTACTGGTATTATATAATTTTTTTTGAAATAAAGTTTAGAATGTAATATCAATCATAATACGTTATACATGCTAAATTTAATATGCAATCTTTGTTCCCTCAAAAAAAAAAAAAAAAAAATGCAATCTGGGTTATATTGTGTTATTCTTGAGCTATAAATCGTGCAAATCAAGCTGTGTTGGCATGTATGTTGGATTTGTAATGAGTTTTGGATAATAAGGCTTGGATTGGATGGAAGTTGGTCTAGTAATGAGTAAAAAAAAAAAAAGTAACTTTGTGGAATACATATCATACAAAAACGACATATAGAATTTTAGAATGAGTTAAGTGACTTTTTTTATTTTTATTTTTTTCCAATATTTATGCCATTATAATTCACATCTCTCATTACAATTTTCTTTTTTTAAATTTTACTTTGACATTTTCACTAAATTTATATGAATAGTTAATTTATAGGTAATGCGGTGGCTCAGGTATTTCCAAATGCTCGACATAGATGGTGCTTATGGCATATTGTAAGGAATGCAAATAAACATCTCAATAAGCATTTGAAATGGGATGACGTTCGTAATGGATTAAAGAATGCTCCTCATGATTCACTTACTATTGTAGAGTTTGAAGAAGCGTGGCAAGATTGGATCAAAATCTTTAAGCTTGAGAAGTATAATTGGTGTGGGGACATGCATAATGTTAGACATCGATGGGTGCTTATATACTTTAAAGCTACATTTTGGGCCAGCATGTCTAGCACTCAAAGGAGCAAAGGTATGAACTTCTTTTTCAAAGGATTTCTCAATATCAACACTACTCTTAAGCAATTTGTGGAGCAATTTGGTTTTGCACTAGCTAAAAGAGTAAAAGAAGAGGATAATTAAGGAGACTTTTGATTTGAATGATTCACCATTACATTGTGCAACCGACCATGTGTTTCAAAAGTTACCTCCAAATTTTTTTTTGAATTTCAACATGTGAAAGACATGACTTAAAACAATGTTACAAAAATTTATGATGATGAAAAACAATGTGTATATTATGTCATAGTAAGGAGAATGTGGTATGGCCTAACATAACACACTAGTTTTCAAGTAAGTATAGATAAAGGAACCCTAGAAGTACAATGTGACTGCAAGAATTTTGAATGTAAAGGGATCATGTGTAGCCACTCATTGCGTGTTTTACATGAAGAGGAATGTGATTATGTACCCGAACAGTATATTTTGGATCGATGGAGAAAGGACTTGCCTAGAGAGCATCTTCAGATCCCAATTCCTTATTAATTCTTTACTCAAGAAATAACCGGAGGAGATGAAGAGGTATGAGAAATTGCATAATACATTTGAACCTCTTTTCAACATTGGCAATGATGAATGACAAGTTTTATGATGAGGTATTGAGCTCTCTTTTCGAATTAAGTGTGAAATCACAATCCATCATGGAGGATGAGCATGGACTCATGTCTCAATGTTTGACCAATATTGACAAAGTATATGGTAGACGAATCCCTAAGCGTGTTGTTGTAACTCAAGGCCAAGATCTTGAAGTTGTTCACACCAACAACGATATGGATCCCGTGACTGACCCAATAGATAAAAGAGGAAAGGGGAGAGGGCCAACAAAGCGTAAAGGTTACGCTAATGACCATGATCGTCCATTAAAAAGAGCAAAGCAATCCACAAATGCTTCCGATATTCCTCATGGATTTCAAATATATCCCCCGATATGTAAATTTATCGAACATTATATTTTTTATTTTTTTTACATAACATGATTTATTCTTCAACCTGTCGTATAATTTTTATATTTTGATGACTTTTTTTTTTTTTTTTTGTTTTTTTTTTGTAAAGCAGTATAATAAACCATATGAGATGTTTCCAAATGTATATTATAATCCCCTATACCATGTCACGACACCGGCAACGACAGTAAGTATATAGCTGTATAATGGAATTTTGCACAACTATATTTATTATTATCATTATTATTATTTTTTTTTTAAATTTTTTTATTGATCTTTGTGTAGATGCAAGGTCAATCGATGCCATTTCAACCATCGACTTCAAATATGTTCAGACGTTAAGATTGAAAATGTAAAATACAAAATACATTTTTTTTTAACTATGGTAGCTTTACAAATCAATACCATGCATACTCAGTTTTTTTTTTTTTTTTTTTTTTTTTTTTTTTTTTTTTTTTTTTTTGGTAAATACAGTGGAAAAGACTATCCAAATTTTGAAGCTGACGTAGTTGCAATGGAAGACAAAATCTTAAGCTACTAAATACAATTGTATTGATTGAGATTTTTGTAATGAGATATTATTGTATATCTTTTTTCCTTTAATTGTGGGTGCATGAGTGGTGCAATAGCCTAGTGGGTAGATCCATATTTTTTGTTTTTGGAATCCCGTAGTTTGAGATTTTATGTTAATGAATATATTTTTTTCATCCACAAATGATATGCTTTTATAATTTTGCGATTTAAGGTAATGCTTCACATTTTAATTTATTTATCTTTTTGTAAAAAAAGGCCATTTAGAGGTTGCAAATGATTAAAGGTTCAAATTATAAAAAAAAATCAACTAAATTTTTTTTTTAAAATAACTAAATTACTAAAAAGATCTATTCGATTAAAAAATTACAAAACACTTAAACTACCCTGTAACAAAACATCTATTCAGTTTGGTACATTTTTGTAAGTCATCATAAAAAGTATTCAGTTTCCGAATAACTATAATTGTTTGGATGTCATATATATATAAATGAGATCATATGAGACCAAATCCCTTATGTGAGAACCATATTATATGTGAGGACTCATTATAACCGTTGGATCAATTACATCCAACGACCACAATTAAATATCAATTATAACGGGAGAATCATCAATTTCCAATCAAATGTTCATCCTTTTTCATGCGATTCCACTCATTTTTCTCTCTTCTATACTCTGCATCATCACGAAGAATTCGATTTTGTCGTGTTCATCAATCTAAATCAACTCGTTGCAGAATCCCCAATTTGAAGAAAATGAGCTCTCCAATGGAGATTTCAGTCTCTAAAGCCGAATCTACTGAACTTGAAGCTAAAACTAGTTGTGGTTGGCTGGACGTGGGTCTTTGTGGGTGGGATTATGTATGGGTTTGGAGGAGGGTGGTGCCGTGGTGGGCAGTGGATACTGGTCGGAAGAACGAGGTGAAGAGGTTTTCAAAATTTCGGGTGGGTCTCCTACGGTGGCAATTGATTGATTATGTTCTTGATGTTGTACGCAAAGAAGCTGAGAATTGTGACCGCTTACAAGGTATTCGACGAAATACCTCACTGAATTTTTTTTTCAGTTTTCTTTCATTTTTGTTTTTTGTGTTTTTGTTTTCTGGTGTTGGATCTGAATGTGAATATTTCAGAGCTCTAAATCTGAGTATAATTGTAAGAAATTGATTAAGGCTATAATTTTGTTGCTTAAGCTTGCTGTGTAGATGATCTGAACTTCTGAAGTTTGTATATAGTTCAAATTGGGGGTTGTTGAGAGTAGTTGAATTCTTTTGTTATTTGAAAACAATTAAGATCTGGGATTTTGTTTAATTGCAAGATAGTTTATCAATTTTTCTGGCAGTTATAATTTGAGTACGTAAAGAAAATAATTGATATGGGATTTGAAAATAATTGATTGCTCATTTCACAAATGAGCAAAGAAATACTTATTGATTTAATGAATGATTAAAGAAATGTTTGCTCATTTGACAAATGAGCAACTAAGTTTTTGCTCATTTGTTAAATTAGCAACTAAGTATTTGCTCATTTGAGAAATGAGCACTTAATTATTTTCTCATTTGACAAATGAGCAACTAACTATTTTCTCATTTGCTAAATGAGTAAAAAATTGATTGCTCATTTCCCAAATGATCAAAGAAATGTTTTCTTATTTTACAAATGAGTAACTAATTATTTGCTTATTTGACAAACGAGCAAACTAATGGTTGCTCATTTCACAAATGAGCAAAGAAATGCTTGTTGATTTAGTGAATGATTACAGAAATGTTTGCTCATTTGACAAATGAGCAACTAATCATTTGCTCATTTGACAAATAAGCAACTAAGTTTTTGCTCATTTGTTAAATTAGCAACTAACTATTTGCTCATTTTCTAAATGAGCAAAAAATCGATTGCTCATTTTCCAAATGATCAAAGAAATGTTTGCTTATTTTACAAATGAGTAACTAATTATTTGCTTATTTGACAAATGAGCTAACTAATGGTTGCTCATTTTACAAATGAGCAAAGAAATGCTTGCTGATTTAATGAATAATTAAAGAAATGTTTGCTCATTTGCTGATTTATTCTTTATTAATTTGTCAAAAATGAGCAAATAATTTATCAAAATGAGCAATTATTTTTTGCTCATTTGTCAAATGAACAAATGATTCTTGCTTATTTTGTCAAATTAATGCTCATTTGTGAGTGTGTTTGAATGTTTTAAATACGTTAGCATACTAGCTCAAGGGTGGAGCATTGTGCAAATGCACAAAAGATGTGGGTTCGAATCCCACGTAGGTTCATTTATGTAACGTGGAGACACAAGTTTGTATGAGAGTTTAATTGTAACAAAGTTTATATAGTTATAAATCATTTCTAACCATTTTTTTGCTCATATAATTTAGTATGAATTTGATTTTTTTTTTTTAATTAATTTTGTTTATAGAGATAACCTATGTAGGAATTGAACGTATATCCCCTATGCATTTGCATAGTGGTCTACCATTTAAGCTAATAGGTTTATCATATGTTTTAAATCATTAATAAATCATATTGCATATAAACTTCAACTGTCACTGCAATACAATGAATACATTCTAATTAAGTTGCTATATCCAAACACAAGTAAAAAGCGTATAATTACCTTTTTAATCGAACATTTCTGAAAAGCTTCTGTGCAGCAGCCCCGGTGAACATCTTGAAACCACACTGCAGGCATGCAAAACCTCCTTATGAACAGGTTCTTGTTTAACAGTATCCATCCTCTTAATAGTCCAATTATGCTGCTTCTCAAATTGTTCTCTTTTTGAATGGAGCACTTTCACAGCATATGCCACCCCACTTGTTAAAGGCCGTTCGAAAGCAATTCTTTCGGTGTATCTTGCAAAAGTTCTCTGTCCAATGTTCCCCTTAGTTAGCTACTAATCGTCTAATACTAGCAATGAAACCATAAGAGCATATTATCAAACCTTTTTTTGGTATAAGTAGCATACTATCAGACTTAATCTGACAAAACAAAGACCATATCCAAACTAATACAGAAAAATAGCTCTAAGGCAGTGTGAGCCACTTTACAAGCACAATACCAAACTCTTTAGGCATATATTATCCCAATCGCAGAAATACTTTAATTTTTAGCATCATATACTAAAAAATCGATTAACTTCAAGCTATTCGGTAATGAATCAATATGAAGAATTTGTACTCATTCTATGTGTTCATCCAGGTTACCTAATAATAAAAAAGTTTTTCCTTCTAAGTTCACCTAAAATAGTATCTACTCTGTAATGACCTAATACTAGCAGTTTTAGATAAAATTCAACAAATAAGACACAATATCCACAGGACATTAGCTCTGCTGAGTGCTGACAACAGAAGTACAAATTTCAGGAGTAAAATTTACATCTCAACCCCATTAGCAAAATATCATTTTCAGTTATCATAATACACTGCAAAAGTTCTCAATATTTTGCCCACATACATGATAAATACACCCATAATTCCTAATTTCCTACTCTTAACATAATTATTCATGAAGAAAACTAATTAGATACATAAATGAAGCTACAAAATCATAAAATATTAGCTAAAAAAAATAGAATTCAAATAGATTTATACCTGATTAATAGCAGATGGATACTTGCCATGATGAAAAGTGGAAATTAATATGGACATAGCTTGAATATGATTCATACTAATATTAAATTGATCTTGCAACATCCTAGCCCTTTCATCACACATACTAGTAAGGCTTTCTTTCCTTTTTTCAACAGCGTATGAACTCAATAACCAAAACACCTCAAAACAAAATATGATCCAAAATACAACCCAAGCAACCAAAAGCTTCTTCCACCATGATTTCCTCAACTTCATTGACCCTATGTAGTGGTAATAGTAATGGTGGATCATATGGCTATTCGACGCGATTTTCGGCCACCAATCACCCACCACTTTACCATCGCCACCACCACTGCCGCTGCTGCCAAGCAAACTAGGCTTGCCGTCCATTACACCACCATTAATCAGCTAATTCATGGGGATCACAGAGATAAGCCGACAACATAGCAGTAAGAGTACATGTCCTACTTTTAACCCAAAACCAAGAACATGTAACACACTCATCCACTATCTAGTAAACTACTAGCAATCTCAACTCCCAAAGTAGGAGGGAGAAGGATGATTAAATTAATACTATTCAAAATTTGAAGAGAATAAATGCTCAGAAAAAGAGGGAAAAGAATAAAATGAAAAAAAATAAAAACAAAGGGTAGAAGAAGGAAGAAATTTAAGCTAGCCACCCTTTTTTCTTTTTTTTTTTTTTTTTTTTTTTTTTTACAGAAATAACCTGTAAAATAGCAGAAAATACAAGAAGATGCTAACTTATCCTTCATCAAATTTAAACCCAAAAGAAAAATTAAAAATAAGGAATCCTAGAAACATAAGATTCCAAATTTCCTTTACCAAACAAACAGAATTTCAGAAATAACATGTAATTCAATGCAATAGAATCGAAAATTATCTGAATAATCGAAAATTCTCAATTACTAAAAATCGAATATTATTTTCTTAATTTTTGATGATAAGTTTAATCTGAGATCATTAGAATCACTATCAAGTTTTTTGTTGTATTCATGAGACTCAAAAATTTTCAATAATTGATTAAACCATAATAATTGATGCAATTCGAAATTTTCAGAGCAGTAAAATTGAAATTAAAAAGTTGAACAAACCTTGATAATTATCGAGCCTTCAAATTCTTTAATCGAAGTTATTCGTACTCGTGAAGAAGATGATGAAATCAAAATTATCAAGCCTTCAAATTGATTAATCAGTCGTCGTTGATAATTATGGAGCTTCGTTGTGCAGAGAGAATAAATGAGAAAGTTTTGAAACAGTTAAGCGTGCAGTGGTTTTGTTAGGCAGATTTGTATTTTAATCTCGGCCGTTGAATTTCATATAATCTAATGACTGGTATTAGTTCTCACATAGATGAAGATTCTCACATAAAGGGTGGTTCTCACCGGATCCTGACCTTATATATATATATATATATATATATATATATATATATATATATATATATATATATATATATATATATATATATATATACGGGAGGGTTCCGCTAAAAACAGGGCTTATGGTGAAAACTAAAAACAGCAAATCTCAGCCATTGATTATTAATGATATAATCTAACGGTTGAAATACAAGGTACACAAAATCTTAGCAAATCTCAGCAAATCCTCTGTTAATTTTGCTGAAAAACGCAAAATCTCAGCAAATCTCAGCAAATCCTCTTTTCATCTCATTATCAAATCGTCAATTCCTCAATTCGTCAAATTTTAGGGCGACTTTGATTATTTACTCCCAAAATTGAGGGCTCGTGATTCTTCAATAATTTGGGGCTTCCTCAATAATCTTAGTAAGTGTTCTTCATTCTTTAATTTCTGTTTTTAGCTGAATTTCTAGTTGATTGCGGCTTACAATACCGATATAACTGTGATTATTTCCTTGTATATAAGCTGAATTTCTTGAATTTCTATTTGATTGCGCATGGTAGGTTATTTCCTTGTATGTGATTATTGTAGACTGTTTTTATAATAGTGCTCTGTTTTTTAGTTTCAATCTCATCAACTTGTAGTTTCAATCCTCATCAACAATATGCTCTTTTTTCGTTTTTGTATAAATATTTGCAATATATATATATTTTTTTTATATTAAAGTTTTTTTTTCCTGGATATATGATATTAGGAGAAATTGTTGCACATAAGGTGTTTGTGTATTTGCTTAAATGACTAACACCTTGCTTAATACCATATAGTAACTCTTTTTTATGATACCATAACCATATATTTTAGACTGTTTTTGTTGGTGTCCAGTTAGTTGCACCATGGAATGGATTATTTTATTATAGTACCCATTTTAAACCATATATTTGATATTATATGCAGACAATGCAAGAGGAGTCAGAAGAAGGTAGTTGCTCAAATACATCTACAACTACCAATGTTGCTGAAAACTTACCGTCACTAAAGGGCCCAAGTGTGTGTTACACTCCCAGAGGAACAAAAGAGTTTATACCGTGTTGTCCCCCTGAACTAAAGCCTACACTTGGTATGCTTTTTGATTCCTTACTTAAAGGTGTTGATTTTTATAAGCAATATGCTAGATTTGGTGGGTTTGTGGTAAGACTAGGTACTGAAAAGAGAATTAAAGATAGTGATAAAGTCTACTTGAAATATTTACATTGTAATAAACAAGGGTTTACGAAGGATGGTGAAACTAAAGCAAAAGTTTCTAACAAAGATAAAAATCCTAAAGCTAGAAAAAGAACCATAAATCGTGTTGGATGTAATGCAATGATTGGGTTTAGAGAACGTTCAGATGGAAAATGGATGGTTTATGTCTTTCATGAATCTCATAGCCACAATCTTGCTTCTCCCAACACAATGAATTTTTTGGCAAATGTTGGAAACCTTAAACTTGGCCAGAAAAAATTCAATTTTGACAACTCTAGATTGAACATTGGTCCAAACAAGTCTTATAAGTTGATGAAAGAACATCTTGGTAGCTATGATAATATAGGTGCAACATTGAATGATTTCAAGAACTTTAATCGAGACTTGAAAGCTTACATACAAGAGAAAGATGCTTCGATGTTTATAAACAATTTGAAAGAAAAAGCTGAAAACTGTGAAGGTGCCTTTTTCTTTGAGCATTGTATGGATGAACATCAACGCTTGACAAGAGTATTTTGGGCAGATGCAATTAGTAGAAAAAATTATTCGTTGTTCTGTGATATGATTACATTTGATACAACATTTGACACCAACAAATACTCTATGGTTTTTGCCCCATTTACGGGTGTTGATCACCATGGTAAGTGTGTGACTTTTGGGATAGGCTTACTTGCAAAGGAGGATATTGAATCCTTTGAATGGTTATTTGAAACTTTCTTAAAGGCAATGAATAACTGTCAGCCTACCTGTATCATGACAGATCAAGACCCTGCGATGAAAGTGGCAATTGAAAAAGTTCTTGATAAGGCAAAACATAGGTTTTGTATGTGGCACATTATGAAAAAAGTGCCACAAAAGGTAGGGCCCAAATTATGCTTAGAAACTGATTTTCTTCATAAACTAAACTCTGTTGTGTGGAATAGAGACCTTGAACCAGAAGAATTTGAAATTGGTTGGCAGTCTGTGATGTCTGAATTTGATTTAGTGAATGAAGATTGGTTCAAAAATATGTATAATATAAGGAATATGTGGATTCCTTCCTACTTTCGTGACCTTTTTATGGGTGGGATTTTAAGGTCAACTCAAAGATCAGAGAGTGAAAATAGCTTTTTCACTAATTTCACCAATCAGCATTTGTTATTGGTTGAGTTGTGGTTTCGCTATGAATCTGCAATCGATGCTCAAAGGCACACACAAGACAAGTTGAATGCTACTTCAAAAACTACACATCCCCAACTTGTCACCCCCCTGTACTTGGAAAAGCATGCTGCATTTGCTTACACTCATAATGTATTTTACATATTCCAAAAGGAATTCAAGCATGCTTTGTACAATTGTGGTATAAGTAATGTTACCATCAAAGAAGAAGAAGGGATTGAGCAATATAGAATTGTTGACAACACAAGGAAAAAAAGCTATCATGTCACATATGTTTTGTGTTCTAATGATGCTTCATGCTCTTGTAAAATGTTTGAATCTGTTGGAATATTGTGTCGTCATATTCTCTTTGTCATGAAAGGAAAGTTCTTATTTGAGATTCCAAGGCAATATGTTTTACATCGTTGGACTAAAGAAGCTATGAAGAAACCAATTTTTGGCTTAAACAACTTGCTTGATGGGGCAGAGAAGGATAAGAAGCAAAAGCTAGTTGGTGATTTATGGTGCAGGTTTTTTTCATGTGTAAGTCTTTGTGAGGAGAAAGTTGAATGCCTAGAGTCATTGTTGTCTAAGTTAATATCTTTTGAAAATGAGATGAAAGACTTGGATTCTATAAGTCCAGTTGATAAACGTGAGGCAAAAAATAAACACATTGAATTATTTGTTGGATCTAATGACATAGTTGTTGATATTCTTCCTCCAAACAAGTCTTCCAACAAAGGTAGTGGTAGTGGGAAAAGGAAAAAATCTGACAAAGAGATAGCTATTGAGGAAAGCCAAAGGAAAGATAGACTTTGTAGAACTTGTGGTCAGAGAACAAACCATGATAGTCGGAATTGTCCGCAAAAAAAATCCAACTTGAATGAGGTATTTTTGTAGAAAAAAATAAATAAATTTTGTACTATGTTTACTTCCCACTAGATTTTCACTTTATATATGTTCGTGTACATGATTTCAGGATTTCAAAGAAGAGTAGAAAGGCTGCAAAACCACTTCATATTTACAAGAAGCAACATCGGCTACTGACAGCCTAGTGCTGAAATAGAGGAGATGAGAGGAAAGAAAGAACATAGTGCTATAGTGCCCTTTTTATTGATATAGTGATTGTTATTGTTTCACATATATTAAACAGGGACCTTTTATTGTTAAAATTTTATTGATAGGGTGACCTTTTATTGTTAAACTTTTTATTGACCTTTATATTGTTATTTTGATGTAGTGACATATTGGCATATGATAACTTCAATTTATATTATAGTATGTGTTTTTAACGTCATAGTGACTTTTTTTCATCGTATTGACACCTTATTTCGTGATAACCTTTTTAGTGATATAATGACCTTTATTATGATATAACAACCGTATAAAAAATACTCACATTTTAACAATTCTTCTAATCCACATCGATTAAGCCAATACAAAGTTAGGGAAGGAGGGGCTCGTTCTTTTAATTGATATACTAAATGAATAGCTTAAGAATAGATTAATATAAATACGACACTTTTACCTTACATAGTGACCTTTTATTTAAATAGAGACAGATTATTATAGAAATCTTTTTCATCACATAGTAACGCTCTTGCATCTCATAGTGATCCTTTTGCATCGCATAGTAATTGGAAATTTTTACCTCATATAATGCCATTTTACTTACATAATGACTATAAAAAGTAATATAATATCCTTTTTCAAATTTTTTTTTTCTTTTTTAAGAGTTAAAAAAAAGTTAGACATTTTTAGGTACATATTTATCATAGGTCCTTTGAAAACTTGTCACATATGTATACAAAATAGAATAATGAATATGGTGATAATTTTGCATTATAACTTAATTATATATAACACATTGAACTAATAACATTTTAAATACATAGTGACCTTATAATATAGAAACCTTTTAAATAACATAGATACCTTTTTAAATACATAGTGACCTTATCATATAGAAACCTTTTTAAATAACATAGGTACCATTTTTTTATAACATAGGCGCCAAATTTATAACTAATATATATTTCACTAAACTTCTTGAATGTCAATTAAAGATTACATATCAAAAGAACTACCAATACCACCAATTCAAAAGCTTTGTATGAACTGGAATCATATCATATTGTTCTATATTAATACTTATACAATTTTGTTAGATTATCCATTTGTTGATGCAAACTACATCATTACATTAGATTTCCTACTTCTGTGCAAAATACAAATACTTCCGAGCAAAAAACTTCATCCACATATTCGTTAGTCTGCCTATACTTTCTTTTCCTTTTTACCTTGCTTTGTTTTCTTCTTAATCCCATCAAAAACATCTTTTGCAACTTGACTCCTTATTAATCTGAATTCAGATAGCTTTTCAAGAACTTCATCTCTGACAATGTTCATATCAGATAATACCAGAGTAGCAGCAATCTGAGCTCTCAATGTCCGTCTAGTTGAAACCTAATATATTAATTTAAGCAAAAATTAGAATAAAAAAGCTAGTTAAATTCCATGGAGGAAATAGTTAATATAATAAAAATTGAAAGCCAAATAAAAAAAATGAGACGAGATAACCGTTTTCAAAACATCGCAGTCGAACACATCAGCTCCATCAAAGTAAAGCATGCTGACCATAGTATAAATGCCACTATCATTATTCTTCTGTTTTCCAGACTTCCAATTTACAGAAGGTGACTCCAAAGTATACTCAATCATGTTCTTCACTGAGTCATTACTTTGAGGAAGGCGTTGATCAAGAAAAGTACTCAGCATATCACTCTAGGCAAAATAAATTAATACTTTAGGTTCCATGAAGCATATCCTAACTAGAAAAATACAAATAAAATCCAAAATATCATATTTTTACCAGAACATCAGAGAACTTCTCAACCTCACTCATGTACTTTGTATCATAACTCATATTATCAATGAACTGAAGCTTTTCTTCCTTCAAATTCACAACAATTAGGAAAAAGTGCTCATTCAAGAGTATAAGAACAAATATCTGCAATAAATAAATAAACAACTATTAAGCTTGAAAAACTTAATATAAAAGTACTTAGTTGAAAAATGATTGTCAACATTTGCAATGTATTACCAACTCAACATTTGCAATATCAAAATCATTGCAAGGAATGAACAACCATCTTGACCAAATGTCAAATAGCTTGTCAATGTCTTGTGTGTTAATATCTGTGTTTGCAACTTCCAGTAAAAAAGCCTAAAAAAGAACAAACATTAATAAATATTAAAAAAATTAGAAGGTAGAGTTATTTTTCTTAAATGTAATTACTTGCATTACATAGTGACTGTTTTCATTGCATAGTGAAATTAATTTATGAATCATAGTGACTGTTTTCAATACATAGTGAAATTAATTTATGAATTTTTTATAATGAACAACTACCATTATAATGATGTAGTAACTAAATAGCCGAAAGATACTTACACTTTGAGAAACACCAAAATATAGTTTTTGAGGTCCATGTGCACTACTCTTCTGGTTTTCATTAAGCAACATAGCCCAACAATCAATAATAACAGAAGATATAGCAATAGCCGGTGCACCTAATGAAAGGAATTCATTCCTTGTAATCTCAAATGGTTTGCCAAAAGATACCAACACCTCACTGTACAAGGAAATAAAAAGACACATGTATATTAACATAGTCACTTATTATTAAAATTTGAAAATAAATAACAAAAAGAACAATGACATGACTTACTTGAGATCGAAACCATGATAATCACTAATGCAGTAGTCAACAAGTTCCTGGACAACTGCATCCAAAACCTTCATATCCTTATTACTTGACTTCATATATTCAGTTACATATGTAACTTTATCACCAAAGAGACTAACATCCATAGCAAGGGAGCATTTAGATTTTCCATTACTCAAAACATGCTCAAAACCTATCCTTGGAACCTCACCAACTACAACATTAATCTCTTTTGCAGGTGCACCATTATCATCAATATCATCATCATCCAAACCATTAGGCACTTTGCTTACCCAATTTACAAGAGACACAATCTCATCAACAATTTCATGAACACGAGGATTCATAAAGAATAAATCAGTTTGGGACATTGGAGGTGTCGAAGTTGAAGCATCATTAGATTTACGAGTCTGAAATAACACTTTCAACTCATTCATGTAGAAGTTAGATACCACTTCTAAATCTCTTTTCATGAGCAAAAACTTCTCATAAACTTCCTGTGAAAAAAAAATGTAGCACTTAGATTTAATAAAATAATTTGTGACAAAAAAAAAAAAAAAAAAAAAAAAAAAAAAAAAAAGAAAAAACCAAACAGACAGACAGAATTAAAGGGTAAAATACTTACATCAATAGCAATTGAACGGATTTCCTCATTAGACATTGAACTGGCAGGTAGCTCAAACTGAATAACACCCTTAACATTGCTACGGACACCTTCATAAACAACAGATTCTTTTCCAGAAGTTTGATTCACAGGAGCTTCCTTGAATTGATTACAAACAACTTGTCCATCCTCAAATTGCAACTTCTCACTCACTGGATATGTATCAAACTCAAGAATTCCACACCCAAAACCCTTGGACAACTTTTCATTTCTAATTCTATCTCTTATATCCACATCAGTCCAATGTTGAATTAAAGGTATTGTAGAATTTAACACAACATTCCTAAACCTCAATCGATGAAAATAGATAATCTCTAACATCAAAACACAACCACAAAACCATTCTATATTTCCTTCTTTGTAGCTCTTCACGGCTTCACAAAGTCTATCTAAGACATATTTTGACCAATTATAAATTCTTATCTGATTAACATCAACCAAACATTTTACAATTCTCAAATCCACAGTTCTGTTGGACGTAGGTGCTAAAAAACTTGAAAAAGCATGCATGATAAAAAGCTGTCTGAATTCTTCCCCGCCATCTACTAGTAAAGGGATCTTAGATTCCAAAAAACCCAAAGGAATCTGATCATTCTCACCCATAAGACCAAAATGAGACCTCCATTTAACCTTTAAATCATAATCAGGGTTGATGACATTAGCACAACGAGAAATTTCTTCAACTTTCTTAGATGTTTTGCAAGGAAGGCAAAAAACATCATACACATCAAATTCAGTCACAACAAAATCTTTTTTACCATCAATAGTAAACATGCAGCTACCATGATCAAAACAATCTACCAACCATGATAGCATATCAGTTGCAGTTCGTTTCACCTTCAAAGATAACAAACCTCCAAAGCCAATTTCTTTAACAGCCTTGATTTGATCATCTGAAAAAGTTTTAATCATCTCTACTAAATGAAATGGCCTGCAACGTGTTTTAAATCCTCGTTGCACCCTGTAACAAGACATACGAAAAGATAAACAAAAGAAACCAAAATAGTAGCCTCTTTTTATAGCATAGTGACCTTTTTTTTTAAACAAAACTTCAAAAAAAAGAAACAAATATTCACTTACATATGTACATCACTATCTATGATTGCAGATTCTTGCCTATGAATCACAATGTTCTTATCCTTATTTGCCTTCACTTTCTTCACTTTAAGACCTTCATTTTCATCCAGCTTTCTCTTCTTAGCTGGCAAAACAATAGCATGTGAAGAAGAAGACTCATTCCCCTTCTTTCCTTCCATCACAGTTGACAAAGGTATAGCATTCTCAATGTTAGAAGGTTTCTTTTTCTTAGTGATAGCTTTCTTTTTCAATCCTTTTTCAATACAAGCATCTTTATCTCTGTTAGTATCATCATCGATCATTTTGTTTCCACCATCAATATGCTCTTCATCTTCATGATCGAGATTGATACATGCTAAAAACACGCAAGCATATAGTTATATATACAATTATCTTCATTTTCATCTAGCAAACAATTATAATATAGCAAACTAATAACTTAAAAATAATAATCATTGTCATTGATATAGTGACCTTTTTCAGTTACATAGGGAACTAATAATATAGTAACTTTTATATTAATATAGGGACCTACATTCTATAGTATTAGGAGACTATCATAATAGAGCAACTAGTATATTAAGGTTAATAATCCAAAAATCAAACATTCATCATACCTCCTGTATCTTTCAATTTAACTCCTCCTGTTGAGCTACGAAGGCCTCTCCTTTTTTTAAAAGTAGCACCACCTCTAGTTCTCACCATAGGAATAAAATCTAATCCAAATCGAATGAAAATCCTTGTTGCACCCTGTAACAAGACATACGAAAAGATAAACAAAAGAAACCAAAGTAGTTGCCTCTTTTTATGGCATAGTGACCTTTTTTTAAAACAAAACTTCAAAAATAACATAGTCCAACACCCCTCCAAAAAGATTCAGTTTATTTTGGTTTGGTTTAGAACAAGTTCAGGTCATATTCATATTTATGTCTTTTGACAACCAATTTGTTTACGAATAAAAAAATCAATTCAGGTCAGGTCAGGGCAGTGAAAATCAGATCAAACTAAGGTATCCAAATCCTCGAATTCTGGCTACCTTGATTCAAGTTCAAAACAGGCCTAATTCAGAAATTTTGAAGCAAAATCCAGTACAGAGTCAAATTAACCATGCACATATGTCAGACTAGAAGTACACTTTTCAACAGTCAAGAAAGTCATGTAGATGTCGATTTAGCATGATCAGAAGCAATCTATCACAAATCCACCCCAGATGTCTGTAGCTCCTGGGTTAGTCGCTTAAGCAGTCTGCTCAACACCAAAAATCGGACATATAGAATCAAAGTCAGTATCTTAAACCAGGAAGCATTCTTCATACTTTATGTTCTTTCTTTCTTTCTTTCTTTCTACGGTTGATGTGGAAAGAGTCTTTGCATCAATATCACAAACACCAGAAAATTTATCTAAGTGCAAAAGGCAAATAATTCATGTAGGAACCTAATGACATTTGATGCAGCTGAAACCACTTCAAATCACAAATAAGAAAAGACAGGTTGTAAGAGAGAAACACAACAGCATCAAGGAACACCAATGCAACCAAGGCAGTTAGTCCATCTCCAAACATGTCACCATGTTGGTCAGGTCTCAATTCCAGATCATCATTAGCAAGAGATTGATGACCATTCCTGTTGCCTACACCAAACGGAACACGGGAAAATACAAATCGAGTTGGACACCAAGTGGAAGCAGGAACCAGTGTAGCTAATTTATGTCTCCAAACTCTCACTAATTCACTCACAAATCCACTAAAAACACTTCAAATTACTCAAAATTCGAATTAACTACTCCAAACTCTCACTAATTCACTCACAAATCCACTAAAAACATTTCAAATTACTCAAAATTCGAATTAACTACTCCAAACTCTCCCGAATTCACTCACAAATCCACTAAAAACACTTCAAATTACTCAAAATTCGAATTAACTACTCCAAACTCTCCCGAATTCACTCACAAATCCACTAAAAACACTTCAAATTACTCAAAATTCGAATTAACTACTCCAAACACAAACACACACACACAATTCGCATTTTAGCTATTCGCATTCCTAACAGGCATTAATTCGAAATCAAAATCCACAAAAATCAGCTAAACTCGAAATCAACAAAAACAAAATTATGCTCAACAAAAATCGTGTTACTAAGAAGATGAAGAACAACAACAAAAGCAGAATTTCGTAGCATGAAAATCAAGCAAAATAACGAAATTAACACAAATAACTTACTTGATAATAGGTTGTAGAGCTAAGAAATTGCTGAAAATCAAAGTAATTGAAGCTAGATTTGAATTAGTAGCATGAAATTGGTAGAAGAATTGGGAAAGTAGGAGATAGAAAGTAGCAGAGAGAAAGTAGGAGAGAGAAAATAGAGGAGGAAAAAGTTACGTGCAAATGAAGGAGGAGAGAGAAATTGCTATCATTTTGCTTTAATTTGGGGGAAAAATCTGAACCGTTAGATGAGGGGTGAGTAATAGATCATAATCTACGGTAGAGATTGCATGTTTTCAGTTTTCAGTTTTAATCTTGTTTTCACGTGATCCACACTCTATATATATATATATATATATATATATATGTATATATATATATATATGTATATATGTATGTATGTATATATGTATATATATATGTAAAAGCGTAAAAGGAATATCTTGCGATTATTACAAAGCATTAAAGCAAATGGAGTACTAAATAATTTTGTTTTAAGGTGAAGAGAACATAAATATGAAGGGATATTAGTGAGGAGGATTTCCCAAAACCTTTCCTAAGGAACCCTAATGAGTAAATAGAGGTGAATGCCTGAAATGCCATCAAGAAATGCATATCTACAGATTGATCTGTCATCTCAATTTTATCGAGTCTAGTAGATGAAGGAGTACACTGATTGCTTAAGCTGTCATGTAAAGCTACCTCTATGTCATACTATTATTATGTATCTGGAATGCATAATCTAGGCTCTTGGCATTGCTTAACGCGAGTCTAATGTCTGGGACAATTGACAGGTGCTTCACTGCTGATGAAATCTCAAAGTATGGCCAGTATGAAGGTGATTTTGCTAGTCACCTGAGGGCAAAATACTCCTCCGACAAGGATGTCCATGGAGGTAAACTGCTTTGTTATGCTGACTATTACATATATGTATCTGTAAGCTTAAGCCTTTTTTTTTTTTTTCCCTTTGATGCTTGCAATCTTTTGAGACTACCATATCTGAACCAGCTTTGTTAGGCATGCTCATTGCTAACTGAGAGGAGTAAAATTTATGACCTTGTGTTATTTGCTTCCAAATGCTATTAAGCAATGGGTCTTCAGATAGATCAGTCCAAATTGGATGATACTAAGTTTTTCAGACTTAGTTTCCTTTGGATCTGTCTCAGATTCCAGCTTCTTTTTCCAACGTACTTGTGATTGTTTTGCATTTAGGTTCATGTTGTTTCTTGACACTAGCTTTTTTCACACTGTTTTTAGACATTCTAGTTCAGAAACATTTTATATCACTTGTCAAGTAGATCGAAGAAGAAATATCAGGGATAGTGTCTGCTTCCCTTATGCGGTGACAACAACACTGCCTGGACATGATTCTTATAAAGGTGTTTCCATGTCATGGTGCCAGCACCATGAACTTCATGAATATCGTTTTGAAAGGGGTTTATGTGTCTTTAGAGCACAATTAAGTATCGAATTCCTTGCGCTCCCACCTTGTTTTTTTAATATATGAGTGTCATTCATTTGTATAGGTTCAAGCCAATATATTGGTTACCTGTAAAAATTATATGATACTCCCTCCGTCTCTTTTCTATGGTAACGTTGACCTACAAGGCTCTTATGCACATCTTTGACCATGTATATATTCAATATAAATTGAGTAAAAATTCTAAAAAATTGTTTATTTAAAAATTCTTTTTAAGACAAATACAACATCTCACATGCTAGGGTTTTGATCTTTATAATACTATACATTTACAGTCAAAGTTAATAAACATTGACCTAGAAAGTCAAAATGTTACCATGGAAAAGAGATGGAGGGAGTACTCTATAAAAGTCAGTGGCATTCATATGGTATATAAAAGTTGGGACAGGGCCGGGGGACTTAAATTCCAATGAAGTGGCTTGTAGAATAGGGGAACTTTTGTGTGAGATTTTTTTTCTGGTATAAACTGAGATTTAAATGTTGTTGCTCGCGTTCTTTTGAAATTTCTATAACATTGTTATTATTGACATGGGGAAGCATTGTGTTTCGATTGACATCGATTTATATGAAGTGCATACGCTTGAAATATTTAATGCTCTTATAGCTCTTTGGGTGCCTATTATTGGACCTTATGGTGAAGGTCCTGTAAGTTACTTTGCATAATAAAGTTTACATCTTCATATTGCTTTCATTCTTTGAATTTGATTTACTGAGATTACAACTGTCAAATTTCAAACCGAAACCGTTTAACTGCCCGAATCCAACCGATCCAAATGAGAACCGAACCGATTAAATACCGATTTTTTAAAACCGAAAACCGACCTGAACCGCATTTTAGTAAACCCGAAACCGAACCGATTCAGAACGTTAAACCGTTTAAGAATCGAACCAAATCTAAACCTAACTGAAAGAAAACCGAACCGAAAATGAATTGAACCATTTATAACCCGAAACCATTTAAACTGGCATAAAAACCGTTTACACCGAACCGTTAACAAACTGCAACCCGTTTGCACCGAACCGTTTATAAACCGAACTGATTATAAACCGAACCGCATATAAACCGAACCGTTTATGAACCGAATCGCTTATAAATCGAACCGTTTACAATCTGCTTACTATAAAGAAAAGATTAAAACCAAGTTAAAAGGTATCTTATATGAAATCTAATTATGCATACATGTGTTTTTTTTTTTCTTGAAACATAATTAAAATGCACACATGTTTATTAATTATTTTCCCCAACTTTTTTTATATGTAATTATAATTTTTTTTGGTACACTTTTTTTTTATGTAATTATATGGAGATTTGTGACCTTTGGAAATGCAACTTTCTCTGAAGTTGTATTACCTGATCACAAAAGCGGGCCGTTTTTGGAGAGACATCCCTCTCTTATACTTTGAACTACACGAACAATGATATTTAGCTAATCTTAAGATTACAACTCAAATTATTGATCCAGTCAAAATAATGTTACTAATGCATAACTTTATACTAATAAATATTTAACTATGTGAATATGAGATGGTTAGATGTTATGTGTATGTATAATCGATTGAAAAAAATCAATATTACCTTCTTAATCATTAATGTTTTCTTTCATTATACAAATCAAACTACT